ACACCTTACAATCATTCCATACACCAAATATAGTAGACCTATTGCATACAGTATAAGAAAAACAGACCAAAACACAAAAACTTAACTATAACCACTGAACCATGAAAATGAGGTCAAGGTCAGATGGCACCTGCCAGTTGGACATGTACACCTTACAGTCCTTCCATACACCGAATATACTAGACCTATTGCTTCTAGTATCTGAGATATGGACTTGACCATGAAAACTTAACCTTGTTCACTGATCCATGAAATGAGGTCGAGGTCAAGTGAAAACTGTCTGATGGGCATGAGGACCTTGCAAGGTACGCACATACCAACTATAGTTATCCTATTACTTATAATAAGAGAGAATTTAACATTACAAAAAATCTGAACTTTTTTTTCAAGTAGTCACTGAACCATGAAAATGAGGTCAAGGACATTGGACATGTGACTGACGGAAACTTCGTAACATGAGGCATCCATATACAAAGTATGAAGCATCCAGACCTTCCACCTTCTAAAATATAAAGCTTTTAAGAAGTTAGCTAACGCCGCCGCCGCCATAGCCGCCGCCGGATCACTCTCCCTATGTCGAGTTTTCTGCGACAAAAGTCGCAGGCTCGACAAAAACGTACATGTATACTATGGAGTGCATTAATCCTCAATTTTTAATGCATACTCATTCACAAGTAAATTTTGACTCAAAATGGTCTAAATATATATTTCCCTTTCACCAAAAGTTTCATTTCTGCAAATTTGTTGGTTAGTTAAGTTTAAGTAAACAATGACATCAAAAGCATTATTTTTTTTTTCTACTTGTGGTATTGAACAGACCAGAGCATATAACAGCCCATGGCCACCAATGACAAGAGTTTGTGATCTTTTTTTCCATTATGGTCCTTGAAGAAAATCAGCTGGTCCTCACTATTATCTCTTTTGCAAATACCAAAATAGTCGGTCCTTTTCAAAATTTTGGTGGTCAAATCCCTTGGACCACTACTTTTCCCAAACTCTACAATAGGTCTTCAACCTTAGAGAAAATCCTGCGCCCAGAAGCACATTTTGAATGAAACGTGGAAGCAATTCATACCAAAAATGTTTGCACTATCAATGCTTTTACAATCCTATTAAATTATAAAAAGAAGCATTCAATTCTTATATTACATTTTTATGCTTTAAATTAAGAGATATCAAGCTTTTTGTTTGTTTCTTCTATGCATTGTTTTAACACTGTTACCGATAGCATTCATGTGCAGTCATACATGTAGCTGTCATGATAAAAGTGCGGAAAACTGATTATTTGAGTGAATTTTTTCCAAGTCCCAGAACCACAACTCTGCACAAAATCATCAGACCGGAACAAAATTCGAACTTGATCTGTAACTTGTCCTGATGAAACAATACACCAATATAAAATAAATATCTTCAAGGACTAAGAAAAAAAGTGTGGAAAACTGATTTGCCGGACTGACAGACAGACTGCAAACCTAAAGTCCCCTTCGACTTAGACGGTAGGGGCCTAAAAAATTCTCAATGTCATATTAGAAATTTATGAAAAACTAAAGGGAGGTTATCTGAATAGATATAAACCAGTCACCAAAGTTTCATGAAAAACTGTTCAAAGCACTTTAAAGAAATTGTCAGAAAACTGGAAAATCACCCTTTTTTATGAATAAAATCCCATACAATGTAACTCAGAAAAGTAAAATCTAAAATTTATAAAAATGGAAAGGGAGCTAATTAGGTCAATAGATATAAAGAATTCACTGAAGTTTCATGCAAATTGGTCAAAGCGTTTTTGAGTTATTGTCTGACATGTTAATGACAGAGAGACAACGGTATACCATAATACATCCCGTAAACGGGCGTATAAAAATAAAACTGAATGTTGTTATTAGACCAAAAAAAAATATATAGATATAGGAAGATGTGGTATGATGCCAATGAGACAACTCTCCATCTATATCTTTTTTTAGGGTTATCCGAATGTCCCTAAATTGAAATCCATAAACATGATAAATAGTCAACCCTAACCCATTTCATTTCCATTGTAATTGTAAAGGGTAGGATTAACTGAACTTGTCTCCAAGTGTAGTTATAGACATTTAAGAGATAACTGTATTGTATTTGAAGGTTTGCAGACATCTTTCGGTAGTTTTACTGTCGCAAATTTAGTTTACCTGGCGACGCGTACCCAAGACAGGTAAACAGGTATTTGCGACAGTAAAACTACAGATGGACGTCCACAAAGCTTCAAATACAATACAGTTATCTCTATTCTAATGCAAAACAAGTACATAATTCGATTTCAATCATTATTTCAGTGTGAAATTTTCATTAAAGAAAATTCCGCGAAAAGATGTTATCTTCTTTGGCCCTTAAACTAGGTGACATCATAGGTATGATTCCGGCGTCAAACGTAAACACTGTGCGTTTTCTGGCTTCTTGACCGCTTCAGAATGTAAAAAAATTTGATAAAAAGAAGATTTCTAGGTGCAACATGTGAGTTTTTTGCTTATTATTGTAGAAATTACATGTCAATACATTCCGCAATTCAAAATGTCGGCTTCCTTAGTTACAGACAAGGAGATAGAGAATTTTACGCTTACTGTCATCCAATCAGAACCATTGATACAAAATAATTGCATTAGAATTCAATGTTCACTATCGTGCTTTTGATAGCTGTTTTAAGGACACTGGCGACTAGTGTGATAAAAAATCACTTTGCTGTCATTTTCTTTCCAACAAAAAACAAGGGAAATAATCCAAACATTAATAAAATGCTTCGCTGAGCGCAGCCTGATACGACCGCAGAGGTCGAACCCTGAACAGTTGGGGCAAGTTTGGACACAATATTCAAGCTTAATACTGTCTGAATTTGGATTGTGATCAATTTTTTAACTTAATATAGGTTTCTGACACAAAATAGATCAGGTCAAAGATCTTAAAAATCTATTGCGCAATAGAAAATTTCTTCTAGAAACTTTTCAAAACATTTGAAATATGAACCACCCAAAAAAATTGGGAGAAAAAAAAACAAACCCCGCCTTGGAATAAATACCCCCAAACTCAATCCCAGCCTTCTCTTTGTAGTATGGAACCTTGTAATACAATTTTAGAGAGATCCATACACTTAAACACAAGTTATTGTCTGGAAACTACAAAAATGCTTGTTTTTGGCCGCTTTTTAAAAAAGACCCCCCCAATTCCTTTACTGTTGGTACCATAACCCCCAAAATCAATCCCAACCTTCTTTTTGTGGTATTGGACCTTCTTGTAAAATTTCATAGAGATCCATTCACTATAATTATCCGGAAACCAAATGTGTCTTCGGGCGATGACGACAACATCATAGCATTATACGAACCCAAAAAAATGTTTGTGGTCGTATAAAAATACGGGTTAGTTTGGCCCATGGACAACTCGTACCAGACAACTCAAAATCATGTTGCAAAAAAAAAAAAAACGAAGAAAACAACCTACCTACAAAAAATGTACCGTGTTTTTTAGAATGATGTAACCCTTAACAGACATATATTTATTTTTGGCCTTACAGAGAATGGGTGTTTGTGCCTTGGTATTATTAAGACTGAACAAGATACTATTGTCTATCCAGGGTTCTCACTAAGGTGAGTCCATGAGTCCTGGACTCATGAAAATTTGTCTGGACTCATCATTTCCAAAACTGAGGAGTCCAAAGATGCAAGAAGAGTGTCAAATGTTGTATCAACTGAGAATATATATCATCATTTAATAACCAAAGTTTAAATATAATCTAAACTTGGAGCCATTTCCTTGCTCTGTTTTGTCATGGAAATTGAATTAATAAATTATGTAGCAATAAAGTTTCATCTTCACACTGTTGGACTTGCCATGGCCAAAAATGATGAGTCCCTGGACTCGCCTTCAAAAATCCTTAGTGAGACCCCTGCAATCATTGATTTAAATTTTGTTATTGAGTTTCAGGAGAGTTAGAGCATGAATAGCATACATGTAACTGTCAATCCCATTATAGAAAACAGATACATGTATCATGAGAAGGTATGGCTTAAACATACATGTTCAATATGTTAATGAGATTATCAGCTTCTAATGCTAATAAATGTTCTGGGAACTCCAAATTCTATTATTAGACAACTGATGTCACCAAGTACAAGGTGACTTTTAACTAAAAATATTTATCCAACATAAATTTACACATGAAATAAAGATGGTTTGAAGATTGCTTTTCAAAACAATTGAACTATATTAAGGGCATACATGTATGTTACAGAAACGAGAGCAGATAATAATGCATCCAATTTTTTAGTGTTGTTTTTCACAAAGTTGCTAATGATAATAATCTAAAACCTGTGGAAAAATCACTTGCATCATCAAATCATTTAGTTAATTAGAAAGTTTTTGCAAAGTAAAACGAACATTTTGTATTTCAGCACACAAAATCTACTGCAGGGGCATAATATTCGAGGCAAATGAAGACTGTTCACTTTTCCATTATTAATAAATTTGCCAGTAATTCTTATTAGAAAATTGCATGTTTTGGTTGGTTTCTGTCATGTGATATCAGGAGTTGCAAATCAATACAAGAACAAAAATGTGTGACAACCACAAATGATACTTTCTTAATGTATAGATTTCAATATGACTTAAAGAGTTACTTCCCTTGGCTGCCATATGCATTTTTAGGGGGGTAAATGGTTGATTTTGGTTTTTGACGAACCAAACTGAAAGACGAAGTACTAACAAGTCTGATAAAAGATCCTAACTAGATCATAGGGATAAATCAAGCAAGATTAAAAAGAAATCAAAATCACCTTATTGGTCAGTTGATTATAAGGAATGAATTTGGCTGATTTATGAAGGAATTTGTGTATGTAGATCATAAGATGTCCAACATGGAAACAAAAGGGCAGTTCCTCTTGTTCAAATTGTGTCAATTGAAACCTTCATGTACATGTACCTATAAAAACTAAGGCAATATAGAACTGCAAACCAACAAAATAATTGATACTTACAACAGTGTTGATTTGGATTTCTTGCAAGTAGGGTCATCTTCATCACAACTTTCACCACCAGAGCTACTCTCTGTAACATCAGAATCACAACAACTCTGTGCATGATGAATACTGTTTGACAACAGTCCAGATACTCTTATAGATTCTTCTGCTGTCAGCTTATCGATTGTCAAAACGCCAGTTGGTCCACTGTCTGACTTAGAATTGAGGTAACGCTGACTCAGCGATAAAGATGACTGACTGGACTGTAGTCTTCTTACTAAATTCACTAGTGCTGCCGTTGATAAACTTTTTACATCATCACTATTGAACAGTTCAGTCTTAATTTCGTTTAAATTATTTGATGTTGAACTCTTAATTGATTTTGCAACTGTCTGTAGGTTTTTATGCTGAAAGCCAACAAAATTTCTGAGTTGAGAATGCAAGTGCGATTCAACCCCTCTACTTTGTAGTCTTCTTAATCGCCTTAATAAATGTTGAGTTCTGCGTTCTAAAGTATGTTGCTTCTTTTTAACCTCCTCTTTCAAATTTGAATCAATAGGACTTTGAATGTCCGTGTCCATATCCATGTTGGACACTTCTGTAGTGCTAACAGCATCCACTTCAGAACTGGAAGCAACCATTTTGTCTATTGTTTTGTTTTTATGTTCAGAATTCGCAAAAATATTTTCTTCACTGACTGGAATCTTGCTGTCAACACTTTTAACTGTTGAATCAAGTTTTGGTCCGTTATCACTTTTCAATTTTGTTTCAATATCTTCATTGCCATTAACATGATTTGTTTGGTTCATGTTTTCACAATCAATTAATGAATGGTTACCGTTGAGAAACGGTTTAGGTAGACTTTCTTTTGTTGTAACTGTGTTGTCAGAATCTTCAAACTTGAATTTGATTTCTTGGCAACCAATGCTTTTGAATAAACCTTGCTGTTGCAACTTTTTAAGCTCTCCAATAGTAACATGGGAGGTCAGCCCACTGAGGGGCTTTGCTCTATGTGGCTGATTATTCTTTCCGTTTGCTATACCAGCAATGGATGGCACATGTAACTCTGGGCTCACTGGTGGGGAGGATTGAGATATTTTGATACAGGACTGAGTGGCTGCCTCAGTTAGCGCAGGTGCCATAACGGCCATGCAACATACTCTCAAAGAGAGAGGCACAGACATGCACGAGGGTTTGGCTGACGTAACATCATAGATATTGCAGAATCTCACCTGTTAACATTTAATTCTAGTGTTGACAACTTTAGAGTACAGAAAGTACGATTCAGTGACACCTCAGACGCAAGCCCGACGCGCCCGTTTGTCCTTAAACTTGGCTCGTAGCACGTGACTCTTCAATCCCCAAATACCACTCTGTGTAAATCAAAACAATGTTAAAACAAAGCAATGTCAATAGGTCACCTGTATTGAATGGCTATGCAATGTCATTTATCTAGGAACTGTCACATAAGACAAAACTAAACGATGAATAAATGTCCAATGTTTCTTCAATATTATCAACATAAATCGTAACACACAAACCACGTGATTCCTCCACGTCCTTTATGCACACATGCATGAATTTTAATGTCCGACCATTTTTCCGTTGCAAAATCGTACCTTTTTCGAGCTCATTTTTTCTGAAAATTATGAGCAACTGGAAGATAATTAATTAAGGAATAATTTGATATATAGCACCTAAAAGATCACGTTACCATTCCTGTGAAATATGAGGTTTTATGGTCCGCCCATTGATTGTTTTAAACCACAGTAATGGCGTACACTTTACACAAGGGCCATCACACAACAAAAATGCGGGCTAACTAGCCTCGATTCTATTTACAATTACGCATATCCCCCTCTCAGGTCTATTTTGTGATTGGTCAAAGCTCTGTCGGGTGATGGGTAAATTCAATGAACACACTCCCTACAATATGCTTATTCAGGACAATATATTTTGACAACTAAAGCATGCAAATGTTGGTTATTTTAAAGCAATTGTATTAAAAGTATATTTTAATAACTAAAAATCAATTTTACTTTCCTTGATTGAAATGATGGTAATGAAATCAGTCTTTAATGACGTGAGAACAATCTGTCGGTTAACTTCTTGGAACAGCAATCGAATTTTACGTCAACACAATCTTCCGTGTTTTGTGTATTACGCCAGTGAGTTTGCACGACAAAACCCATCGAATTATATTTTTTTTTTATTAAATGGTTTGAGAAAAATCAATATTGTTTATATTAAACTGGGAAAAGGTCATCTGTTTTAATTTTTTTAGCTTTTTATAATAGCTAGTCAAAAAAACATCTGAATTTTCTAATCACTTATCAAAACTATGCAGACTGGCCAGAAAATGATCCGCGATCCCACCAAGCATTGTATAGTGAGACATACAAATCCTTGATCCCACCAAAAAAAGAAAGATTTTTGAAAATGAAAAAACAAAAACAAAATCTTGGAGGACGCATTTCTATATTAACAATATACGAGAAAAGATTATAATCAATAAATAAAATGACGAATTATCCGCAAATCCTTAACCAACTTGAACCAGAATAGAGGATCCCCCCTCCCCAAACAAAAAAAAAAATTACCACAAAAAAAACACAAAAAAAACGACAACAAAGAAGAATAAATGTATATAAACACTATGTAATAATATGGGTTCGACTTCTGGCTTAAATTTGAGCTTCTGTTTAATGTAACTATCCTTAAAAAATAAACATCATATTTCTATGTTCCTTATGAAGCAAATAAACCAACAATTAGACAGTGAACGTGCATATTTGGTCCGCCTAACACATGTTTTATAGTATTCTCAGGTGGAAATAATATTACAGAATAATTCTTCCATTTGGAACTTATGTTATAAAGGAACTTCTATTTCATGACAAGGCTACGCCTGCAAGGTAAATTACATATATATCAACCATATATAGTTTACTCCTTATGCAATTGCATGGAAATCACATATGTACTTGGGGACAGGACAATTTATTTTTGCCCTCCCCTTCTTTCCCAAAATCTGCTATTTATTATTTATCTTTAAATTTCACATGCTTACAATTATTTTCGTGTTTTTCTAGAAATATATACATTCACCGTTCTTTATTTTGTAATTAATTTGATTGTTTAGCTCAAATTTTGGGCACCATGATTGGTTAATAAAATATCTTGTATCTTGTATCTTGTATCTTGTAAATATTATCAGTAAATATGTAAACAAAACTTTTGAATTCAGTATATTTATATAAGTATAACACAAAAAAACCATAGGAATTAACAGATAACTAAAAAATAACGGATTTTAGTACAGAGAAAAAGAGGGCAAAAAAAATGTCCTGTCCCCAAGTATACCTATTGGAAATCACAGTGACACGTATGAAGGCTTGTTTCATTGCTATACGTATATAATATATTAAGACAAATTAATTATATAAAAAAAGTCAAATTGCAACAAACTGGGATCATTATCCAACTACAAAATGTATATAAACCATGTTTTCCCCTCTTTCGAATTCATGGTACATAATATATCAAAATTAAGTTTCTTTTTAAATTGTTCGCTAGCTATTATAAAGATTTATTAACACAATTCAATTTGATATAACAATCGGTAAATCCTGAAAACAAAGTAATAAAATTCATAAAGTAAATGACTGAAAACTATACTTTACATATCTATAATATGGATATAATAATAATAACATGTATAACGTTTGTAAAAAAGTTAAAATACTATACATTAGAAGAAAATATATATATATTGGGTGGGGACAGCATCAGATCGTCTTTCAAATTACCGTGATTTTCCGCTTGACACGTGGAGCTAACGAAACGTGATCGTGAGTCATCGATATCTTTAGATAATTCATGTATAAGGGGTCACAACTCTAACTAAACTATATGAAGATTCGTAATATTAAAAGATAATGTGGTTGTGGTGGTGGGAGTTGTGTTGTGTTGTGTTGTGTGTTTTGTTTTGTTTTTTTAATTTTGTTTTTAATTTGTTATTTTATGTTATTCATTGTGTATTTTGTTTGTTTTTTGTTTTGTTTGTTTTTGGGAGGGGGGCTTCCCCATTGCCGATACTTTCGATTATAAAAACCACCAAATAAATGGAATTTATCATATTAAATTGACGTACCCCACTATCCCTCAATGATCTAAAACATTTATTCATTATGTTATGTAGATAGAAAACAATTTCGATTGTCTCATTTTTTTTCTTTTTATTTTTCTGTAAGTATTTCAAAGGGCCTATTTCTCGTATTTTATTTGGAAATTCTATTCCGTGACATAATAATTCTTTTAAATTTACGTAGAATCTTTATAAAATATGTTATTTAGCGCTACCGGTATCCTGAAAACACGTTCGGTGACTTCATATAATTTTTATTATAGTTTGGACAATAGCACAATAAAAAAATCTCAAAGCATAAGAAGAAATAATGTGATTTTTATTTTTTACCCATATGCTATCTTAAAGCAGAGAACTTTGATATCATAAGTGTATGATGTGTCTTTTCTAAAACTAATGTAAAATTTTATGGAGTCATAATTGCATGTGCAAAAAATTGTGGAATTTTTCGAAACATCGAAATTTTTCTTTTTTAACAAAGGTTTTGCAAAAGAAAATCGGAAAGCACTTTTGCTTCCTTAATGGATCTACCGATTGACACCGTCTTTCTTTCAAAATAAAGTTATTGCCCCTACCAAGTAAATTCTATCGCCGCTATACAAGAGGAAATAGTTGTTTTCATCATTTTTGAACTGCCGATTTTAGGAATCATACTTTTTCCATAAATATCAACGTGAAGTGAGAGTGCTACGCTCTCAGTACGTTAAAAATCTCTTGCAAAAACTCTTAGAGGGGGTCCATAGGTGTTATGTTGCTAGCTACAATTTTGCCCCTATCCGATATACAGACATTTTCATTTTTTTTAAATGAAGATAATCACACCACTGACATACATTTCTATAGGCTGCAGCTGTTTGTAAGGTAGAAAGTAAAATGTTACAAATACTATCTTAAAGCAGATATGCTTATCGACAAATTTTGCCGATTTTAATCCGATGCCTTGTGTAGACAGACAGACACGTTCTCTGCACGTAAGTAAACTCTTGTAACAACTCCTAGGAGTCTGAAAGTGGCCTGCTTTAAGACAACATTTCTGTCCCTGTTTAACATGCCCTTCTATCCCGGTTGTGGTCGAAATTTCTGCCATACATCATATCGTCAGCCCAGTCTGAAGAACCTATCTACTCTCGTCCTGAATGTGCACAAAGTTATAGTCACTTGACTGACGTTAACATGGTTAAGCGCCGATGATATTGTCAACGAAAAATATAAATTTCCTAAAATTTCACGATTCGTGCACAATTATGACTCTATCATACAGATTATTTTTGCTTCTCCCTTTTCCTACTTGTCTATCAAAATTGTCCATACCAAGTAAATTCTACTGGCTTTATACAAGAGGGAAATAAATGTGGCATCGATATCATTTTGGGAATCAAGTGATCATTTTTTTCCAGGAAGATAAATAATCGAGAAACGTTTAGTGAGAGTGTCACGCTCACAGTGTGTTAAAAAAACCCTCTTGCAACAACTTTTGAGGGGTCCATAGGTGGCATGTTCAAAGCTAAAATGTTACCCCTATCAGACATACATTCCCGTCTTCCATTCATGTCAAGCAAATTTACAGAACTTACCAATAAGATTTATGACATCTCTAAATACAGGGAAACTAATTTAACATTACGACTTCGTATTTGGTCAGTCAACACAGCTAAAACGGCACCTTAATCCTTGGCAATGTTCTTACTCTAAGTCAGGGGAAGTCGACCAAGAAGCAGTAAATATGGCAAGTTTTTCTAAATGCTTCAAAATTTTGCAACGCCCCTCTCCTAAAAAATGGGAAAAAAAATAGAGGGGAGTTTCAAAATTTGGAAAAAGTTGCCATATTAAGTATACCTCCATATGGTAAACTACTATAATGTTTCTTTATTCAATGCATAAGCCTCAAGGGTTTTGTCCGATCTGATTGAGGAGGCTATATCCTATGCCTCATGTAGGCTGAGTGCCACGCTCTCTGCATGTTCAAGAACCGTTGCAGCAATTCTTTGAGGGGTCCGTTGGTGGCCGTGTGGAAGTGGATTTCGATTTACGCCTTTCCAACATTCCCTCACGCCAGTCGCAGTAGAAATTCCTGCCCTTCGACTCTACACTTTGCAGAACCAACCTATTGGATTGATTGTTAATTTGTTATAGTTCCAATATTATGAAATGTTTGTCATTGGATATCAAGCAAACAAAAATCAATCATCTTGACTGAAAATTTGCTTCTGTTTATTCAGATGCCTTTATAGCTATGCCCGCTTTTTGGAATATCAAAGTGAATTTGCGTACATAATTATATCTCGCCTCTCACGACCTTTGTGGCTGGCAAGACAAAATGGCATCCACAACCGCTATAACTTTAGTGGCGTAGCGTGGCCCTTATTTCACACAATTTAAGACTTGGGAGTCAAGGCTTGAATGCTATTCAAAGATCGGGCAATGCGGATTAGGCATGGGTGGTTCAATGGAAAAACCGACGGAGCTGTTTGCTTCAGGTCAAGTGACAAATATTTCATGCATATTCAAGACGAGAATAATAATAATTAAAAAGATAGGTTCTGCTGAGTGGGCCGACCATGAGATATGGAAGAATTTCGACTGTAACTGGGATAGGAGGGCATATTAGACAGGAGCACAAATTTTGTCTTGCAATATGCTAAGCAGAATTATTCTAGGTGTCCCAGTAAAGATATGAGATAAACAAAATTTAACCAGATATCATGAAAGACTATATATTTGCTGTCGTATTCAATTATTCATATTGACAAAAAGAAATGTTCACACATTTACAGACTAGAATTTCGGCTATGTTTATGAAGAATTCAGGAATTTCGGCTATGTTTATGAAGAATTCAAGAATTTCGACTATGTTTATGAAGAATTCAGATGTGTGAAATATTCATGAAATAATGGTACTAAACATTAGAATGTAGCTTTTTTTTAAGTAAATCTGCCGTTTTTAAATTAAGACAAGCCTGACCAAAACAAAAATTAATGACAGAATCACGATCACCTCTAAATATATGTTCGGCAGATTTTGGTGATATTTAGGTTTAAGATCAGTCATGTCTTGTAACCTTCTTTATTTAGGGGTTTTGTATAAATGCATGGATAGATTATACCTGGATGAACTATGATGTCTGCCTCTTATGAATGAAGGCATGCACATGTCGATGAGAAAAGAATCGCAGCACTCTCTATAGGAACGCCGACTTCTGTCGTAAAACACCACCACCAAACGTAATCAGATTTTATATTTATATCTACGTTGGTAATTTTTATGAAACAGTGTTTGAATACTAGTAGTTCTTTCACTGTCTTTAATAAGTTAACAATGAGAAAACGTGTTTCCTGATAGTGCAGAAAGTGTGAGATTTTCTGTTCACAATGCATTGGATTTAACGTCCCTATTTTGACCAGACTTGCCTGGATATAGAATACATACATTTTCCTTAGCAATCTTTATTTCAGCTTATTTTGGTTTTTTAAGAGTTTGCTGTTGATGGCATAATATTTTTATTTTATTTATTGTTTTTTCTCCTTTTTTAATTTGGTGCTATCTATATCATAAGTAAAGGGTACAATTCAAATGATTAAAACTATCTACACGCTATTATATGCATGTGGTACATTTAATTCCCTTTATTCCTCTGGTTTCTTTCTTGGTATAGCTTGACGAGGCAGTTGCATGGATTGAAGCTTTGACAGTGAATTTAAAAAAGGACATGAATTACTCACCTGCAAACAAATTCCTGTTTTGCTGATCAGTTTTGTTGTTTAGTTTCTACCTATCTATTAGATTTTGAAATAATAGGTAAAAACTTCAAAGTTGAGTCAAAAAAGTCACAAAATGATAATTACTCATATTAGGAGTCATCCAATGGCTTAGGTAAAATTGGAATTTTTGTACATCTTGTATTGGTGATAATTTTTACTGTTTAAAGTTTCTACCTACTAGTATATGTCAAGTTTTTGAGATAAATATGCAAAACAGTCATCTGATAATGTTGTGGAAATGGGAAATAGGTAGATCCTGACATACTGAATATTTTTGCCCCTATTGGAATTTCTTTTTTAAACCCCTCCAACTAAAATTCTGTTGCAAATCGTTTTCCCAACACACCCAGCTTCTTTCTAAAGGAGTACATACTTTATCTATTTGACTTCTACAGATTTCAAAGAAGCAAGTTTTTATTTTAAAGAAAATTTTACAAATACTAAGGTGTTCATTGAGGTTTGTAAAATTTTGTATTCCCTGATTTTCATTTTGTTTGTGATTTCCGTAGTTCATCTGTCAGAGATAAGTTATATGAATGCAGTATATTAAAATCAAGAACTAATTTGCATTTTTGTTTTTATGCAAAAGTAGAACATTTAATATGGTCTTACACAAAGCTACCAAGAGACTATTTATTTCACACTTTATTTGTGAACAGTTGTACTATATAACACTGTTAATAATGTTATATGAATAAATACAAAATAAAACCATTTGATAGTAAGAAGGTAGAAATGCTGCATTAAAGTCCTGTATTATCAACAAGAAACCGTTTTTTGATTTTTTGTGTTGTTTTTTTTCAATTTGAGACAATGCAAGGGGAATAACTCTGGAGAGGAAATTGAAACAACAGGGAAAATCAAACTTGACCCTGCATTTCATTTAAAGTAGTTTGTTGTTTAACAATCATAAGGTTCATATTAAACCCAAGCTTAAGTTTTTATCTAGATATTGTTCCAAACATTCACACAAACTGACAATTATTATACATGTATTGTCTATATTCTCCACTCAAATTTTTCTTGGGAGCATATAAAAGAACCTTTAGTAATTTGATAGACTATATAACTATATGAATTATATGGGAAAGAATATCACAAGTCATTTTGACCAATGTAATTAAGTCAAATTCAAAGAATTATGACCATGAGGGTAAAATCTAAAGTTTACAAGATGAGCAATGTATTGGTCCATCATAAGCTTTTTCATTTCAGACTTGAAATACTCGGACCCATATGCAATAACTTACACAATATCAATGGTCTACTATAAAAGCACACTAATGCAATAACTTCAAATTTTATGTCACTAAACATAATAAAATTAAGATCCATGATGATAATGCAAGGTATATTAAATATCAATGCTCTAAATATGTATAAATGCTCAAAATATGCATCAGTTGTTTACACCTTCGTCAATACCCATATGCATTGTAGTAACATATATGCCCTGGTTCGAGAACAAAAAAACAAGACAAACTTCATAATTTTCTGTATCTTCTTTTTAAGAATAGTTACACAGTTTACATAAATTATCTTCTTCTTCTCAAAATACAATTGTTCAACAAACACTGCAATTTTTATAACAAGGTTAAATATTACGAGTCTGACTTTTAATCACTATATAAATATTACGAAGTGAAGTAAAATGCATGTAGAAAATAGACGATGACTATCACAGAATGCTGATATATAAACATTAATTTGTAACAATTTTCTAGGATAAATAAACTAATAACTCTGATAATAAGTATCAGTAATCAAGTACACTGTTCCCATCATATAAAATTACTTAGTACACACAGTATTGAGTCTATTGGTTGAATTATCTTAATTATATCATATGGTGACAAATAATAAATCTTTATAAATATGGTACTTATTTATAGAGGAAATTTTTATATTTAGCATGCAATTTCGGTATGAAAAAAAGTTTTAAACAAAAAGCCATAAATATGTTTTCCAAGTGTCTTTCTTGATTAAAATTTACAGGTGTTTTGGCTTATATACATATCTTGTCAAGGTTTCAACACTAATATCTTATAAGCTAGTTAGGTGTAAAGTTTGTCATTCAATAGTTAAATATGTCTAGTTTTTTTTTTTATTAAATTTACTGGTATTGTAGCCATAACCTCTTTATCAAAACTAGTAGGCATAGAACATACAATCCATCAACAGTATAATATACTGAATACCAATAACTTATATATCAAAATCAATTGTATTTTTCTATAAAATCAAAAATTATGTCTATTTCAAATCAAATACACTATTCTTTACTTCAAAGTTTTCTTTAATTAATTGGTACGAAGGATATATGTTATGGAAGTTTAGAAATAGTGTATGTAGCAGATCATCGTAATGAATTATCCTGGCAAGTCATTGACCTAAAGATTGTCACAACACTTCAAATTCTTTGTCTTCAGTTACTAACAATACTTCTAGCTATAAGTTCTTTCATAATTTCATTACTACCACCATAGATTGGTTGAACTCTTGCATCAACAAAGGCCCTTGCTATAGGATACTCCCACATATAGCCCCAGCCTCCATGCATCTGCAGACATCTTGTTGCCACACTATTTTGTAAATCAGATGCCCTATTAAAATAGTAAAATTATATATTATCAGAGTGTTCATATTAATAATTCCCTAAAAGGCCGTGAAATTAAAACAACACAATATACTGTTAAAACAAATTTTAGATGATTTATTTTTGCAAATTTATATCTTAGTTGATGCATTCAGAAGATAATACTCTGTAAAATCAGAAAATTTTTGTGTGCCATTATTATAGAGAGTTTTGAAAAATGACAAAAAAAAACGATAAATTACTGCGATTTAAGGCAAAGTTGCATACAAATAATGCTATCAAAATGTACAATGCAAATTTTTCTTTTTGTGAAACTTATCACGTCACAATTTTCCAACCAATTAAAAACATCACAAAAGTTTCTGAATTTTTAGTATTTATTTTGGACAATTTTAATTCATGAAATTTTTCTACATGGTACTTACAAAAATCAGGTAAATAAATTTCTTTTGAAAATTAGTTGACTTACAGTATTAAATGAATAAAATACTAAGAGATAAAAGGTCCCAAATTTTAGAAAGAATCAAACTATTGTTTTCTACCGTAATAATCACCTGATAAGATACCTATTAAGGGAGATAATTTGCCTTTCACCAGATAAGACACCTAAGGGAGATAATTTTCTGTTCACTGGATAATTTACCTTCCTACCACAGCAAATGAAACAGAAAGTAAAGAATACATATGTCATTTTTTCTAGTCTATGTAGAATAAAGGGACTTTACCGGAGATAATTTTCTGTATTGATTTAAAAAAAGGTCTCCACAAATTGCTATCTTGTGAACCGTTACATACTTCATTGCCATAAATATTCACCATCAACTTGATCCTTTATTCAATTTTTCATTTTTTCACTATTAACCTCATTTATCTCAAAAATAAATTGGTGACCAATATAACGCATGCCCTTATCTGGTAATTTCAATAAGTCAAGAATAAAGTATCCACTGAATAATTTGGAGCATAAATATACTGTCTCCACACAGAAACTTTTCAGCAATAGTTTAAGGTGGTAATCTCTGATAAGAATAGACCTTCAATGGACCAAGGTTCAAGAAGAAACCTTTCAGCATCCGTTTCCTATGGAGTCTTACCAATATTTAGCCATTGAAGCCATGACATTATCCAGTCCTTTTTCATTATGTATCTCTAAACAATTGTCCATAAAGGCTCTTCCTACACTGATCTCTGTCTTCAACTCTGCTAGTTTATGTTGCATGGTCTGAAATGATATATAAATTGTTATTAAATCTGATAAAGAGAAAGATAAGGTTTTTGTAATATATGTTTTGAAAAAATGGTCAGTTGGTCAATAGGTTTTTTTGGCTATCAAGGAAACTGGCATGATCAAAAATATTTTGTATACAGAATTCTCTGCTGAATGCCTATTTCATTAAGTATTTATAATAAACAAAACTACCAGGTCACAATAAAATGATTTTATGCTTTTCAGAATTTTCTGTGCATTTTGGACTGACTTTTTTTTTTTTTAACTAAACCTAATTCTGAAAGAAAATCGCTAAAAAAATGAGACATCTTAATTCAATGGATTTCTGTCAAAATTGCACTAAAACTTGTATAATCAGTTGTAATAGATATTATGGCTAAATTCCTGAAAATATTAATAATTGACTACAACTGTTATTTTCTAACTTTCCATGCAACTGTAGCATAGAAGGAATGGGTTTATATCAAATTTCTTAAAAATCTTTAACTGAAAAGTTTTGAATAAAGAATTCCCAGATTATGAGAAAATCTCAAGATTAAAATTTTCTGCTTTCAACAATGTAAATCTAATAAAAATTGATACAGAATCGTAATCATAATTCAAATAAATAGGTATAAAAGTAAAAAACTGTGGCTGAAATATTTCAGCATGCCACAGATTTACAGCAACAATTCAAATCGACGTATGTAATTCATATAGACATTTTTTTAAATCATTTATTTCAGTTTTAAAAAAAGGAGAAGGTTATTAAACAATCTGAAATAACCTAAATACCTATGCAATCCATAGACATTAAGGTGGTGTGATCTATTATCAACTCCAAGTCTACTTCATTGAAACTTAAAATAAGTTTACAGTATTTTTCTATTGTCGAAAAGTTAGATTTCCAAAAATTAAATATTCTCCAAACAGAAAACTTGAACAATCAACCATAAAAGGTCAACATAATTTTGTTTTTTTCAAATCTATTATTCAATTAGAACCGTAATATCAAAATATTGCAAAATAAAGAGATAAAGTCAAGTTTTCCAGGGTACAGTTGACATCAAAGGGAAATAATAAGTTTAAATTAGGTATTATCTCCCTTGAACTCTCTTACCTGTAAGTGACTCAATGTTTTACCAAAAGCCTTCCTTGTTTTGACATAATTTCTTGTTTCTTCAAACATAAATTCACACGAAGCCAGTCCCATAGCACCAATAAGAAGTCTTTCCTGAGGTAATTCTTGCATGAGGTAGTAGAAGCCTTTGTTTGCTTCTCCAAGTAAGGCTGATTTTGGTAATCGGATATCTTCAAAAAATAACTCAGCAGTGTCCTAGTTTTAAGAAATCAAAAGAGTTTTATCATACACTTTCTTCTGTCCTCTTTTTACTCTAATAAAATAAATATCTGTAAGGTTTTAATTACATTAACTTTTTTTTATATCTGATATACAAAAGCACTGATCCCATCAGTCAAGTTCTTGTAGCAAAGTTTAATTCGTTTTTTCATTATGTGCACCAATAATTCAATCAATTTAATTTGTTCTTATGTAGTGCTTTTACACCACTGTCCGAGGTAAGGGGGAGGGTTGAGTGTTCCCAAACATGTTTAAACCCACCACAATCTTTATTTGCCTGCCTAAGTCAGGAGCCTTTAATTAGGTGATTGTTGTGCATTGGCGTCTGTCATATTTGTTTATCATTATTTGTTTTGTTATTATTCAGGTCATTGGTTTTTTTCATGTTTTAACTGTTCAAAATTTTGTCATGTCAGGGCCTTTTATACCTGACTATGCAGTATGGGTTTTGCTAATTGTTGAAGGTTGTTTGGTGACCTATACCTACTAACATCCATGTCATTTGGACTTTGGTGGATTATTATCCCATGAGCAATCATACTACATCTCCTTATTTTCATACAGTTAAGTTTTTATACCTGAGCTTTAAAACCAATCTTCTCCAGCTTTCTTCCTTTAACAAATCCTTTCATGCCTTCCTCGACCAAAAACAGACTGATTCCGTGTGCAGCAGATTTGGCTGTGGGATTAGTGATAGCTACAACTATAACCACATCTGCCATCCAACCATTAGTTATAAATACTTTACTGCCATTTAGTATCCAATCATCACCATCCTGCTTAGCATTTGTCCTGATACCTTGAAGATCACTGAAAAATAGAAAAAAAACTTGTTATTTCAGTTCTAAGTGCTTTAGGTGTTTTGATGCTTCATTGTACGTTTAGATCAGTGGAGACTTTTTATTACTGGACCAAATAATTTCTCTGGACAATCAAAAATTAAATTTGTCAACATACTATCCAGTCATATTTTAATTTTATGGATCCAACAAGTGTTTTTTCAGACATTTTGACCATTGAACCAGGTTCCTTCATAATAACAGAAATTGGTAATGTCTAATCCTGTAACATTTTGAATATATCTTATAGTGCATGATGCACAACTTAGTGCAGCTCTTCTTAAAATTGCAAAGGTGTAGATGTAATATTGTCAGCTTTAATTTTGTTGTAGGATATTTGACAAATTCTGATGTTTTAAGATTTACCTTCCTGCACCTGGCTCTGACATAGCTATGGCACCGATACATGTTCCAGCTACCATTCTGGGTATGAACTTTTCTACTTGTTCTGGTGTTCCGTAATGCGTTATATAGGGCATAACAATATCAGAATGAAGTGTAAAACCAGGTCCTGAACAATTTACATACATCCTGCAAACAGATAAATATATATTATTTCAGCAACATTACAATATGATTTAAGTCATTATCTTTAACAGTAGAATGAGTTCATGAACTCTCAGTATTCTCATCTCCTTATTTTTCGATTTAGGGACTAAAAAATTGGCCCTTTCTTGAATAAGAGACTTTTTTATTTGGTTGTACCATTAATATTCATTTTATGTTGTAAATAGGGTATCTTGTCTTCAGGCCACCATTTAATTGTGCAAATCTGATTAAATATTTAGTGTTAAAAAAAAAGGTTTAAAATAGTGCAAACAATGTGATGAGATGGCATTTAAATTATCATTTTTCTTACAATTCCAATATTCTACTATACCATCATTTTAAATTCCAATAATTAATCTCATAATTTTGTTTTCATATCAATGAAATTGAATGCATTCATTTATCATTGTGTATTTCACAATTAACAGCATTTGTTTTGGAACTTAAATATTTTACTTAGGTCATTCATTAAAATGATTGTGGAAGGTTGGGAAAGGAAGTTTTATTTTTAAACATGTGTCTTGGGTCATTTATGGTTGTAGGTCCATGCAAAGTTACTCAAGGAAAAGCATGTTGGTTGTAAGGGCATTTTAGAAGTCCCTTCATGCCCTCCCATATTTATTTTAATGGAATAGCTCTTATTGGTATTATGATAATTGATACCTTTTCTGCCATGTTTACAAAATCTTTTGACCTTCATTTTAAAGGGTGTTTTAAAGCTATTGATTTAATGTGAAATCTCTTTTGTCCATTGCACAAGACCATGAGGTAGCTTATGTTATTTGTTTTATAATTATATATTACACAATTTTTTCTGACGTTAATATACCCTACATCTTTTCATTTTTCTTTTGTATTGTGGAAAAGATACAGTGAATTCATTATTATTCGTGGATTTTGTGGGTATAAGTCAACCACAAATTGAAATGTTCAATGAAGTACAAATTTTCTAAAGGCTAATATGCAAACTTTTGCAAAACCACAAAATCAAATATTGACGAAAATACAATTTTCCACTATGCACGAAAACTGGTACCCACGAAAATAAATGAATCAAGAGAGGCAGAAAATTTGATGGAAAAGTATAAAACAACATGAGTATTACCCTGTCATATCTACCCTACTCCATAATGTTGTATGATTGATGGAAAAGTATGAAACAACATGAGTATTGGCCTGTCATATCTACCCAACTCCATAAAATTGTATGATTGATGGAAAAGTATGAAACAACATGAGTATTGACCTGTCATATCTACCCTACTCCATAATGATGTATGATTGATGGAAAAGTATGAAACAACATGAGTATTGACCTGTCATATCTACCCTACTCCATAATGTTGTATGATTGATGGAAAAGTATGAAACAACATGAGTATTAGCCTGTCATATCTACCCAACTCCATAATATTGTATGATTGATGGAAAAGTATGAAACAACATGAGTATTGGCCTGTCATATCTACCCTACTCCATAATGTTGTATGATTGATGGAAAAGTATGAAACAACATGAGTATTGGCCTGTCATATCTACCCTACTCCATTATGTTGTATGATTGATGGAAAAGTATGAAACAACATGAGTATTGGCCTGTCATATCTACCCTACTCCATAATGTTGTATGATTGATGGAAAAGTATGAAACAACATGAGTATTGCCCTGTCATATCTACCCTACTCCATTATGTTGTATGATTGATGGAAAAGTATGAAACAACATGAGTATTGGCCTGTCATACCTACCCTACTCCATAATGTTGTATGATTAATGGAAAAGTATGAAACAACATGAGTAATGGCCTGTCATGTCTACCCAACTCCATCATGTTGTATGATTGATGGAAAAGTATGAAACAACATGAGTATTGACCTTTCATATCTACCCTACTCCATAATGTTGTATGATTGATGGAAAAGTATGAAACAACATGAGTATTGGCCTGTCATATCTACCCTACTCCATAATGTTGTATGATTAATGGAAAAGTATGAAACAACATGAGTATTGGCCTGTCATGTCTACCCAACTCCATCATGTTGTATGATTGATGGAAAAGTATGAAACAACATGAGTATTGACCTTTCATATCTACCCTACTCCATAATGTTGTATGATTGATTGAAAAGTATGAAACAACATGAGTATTGACCTGTCATGTCTACCCTACTCCATAATGTTGTATGATTGATGACTTACTGTTCCTCCCATGTGATTGCTGTTGACAGAAGATCTCCACCAACACCACCAAACTTTTCAGGTGTGTTCACTCCTAGTAATCCATTTGCTCCAGCTTTCTCCCAAACCTAATCAACAGTCAAAAATGAATTGAGAGAAAACAAAATTTTGACATTTTTTCAAGATAATATTTTCCAGCATTTTTATTTTATAAAGACAGGCATGTTATTAACTGGGAGGTAAACAATTGAGGTTTGTTTAACTAATCTGTATTGGTAATCTGTGTCAATAAAAGAACAATTCATCAATCTTTTTGAAATTGTTTCTCATGGTTAACTAGTTTACAACTAAGGACTATTCCAGGAAGAAATGTATGGGAGCCTTAGACACCACCTGATATTTCTTTTCACTGGGTAATAGAGGTGGACAGGAAACAATTACAATTCTCTTACATAAGAAAATAAAATTATGGGTGGCGGGGTAAAATAAAAGTGTTATCCATAATCTAATTGGAATTAAATTCAAGGGTATTTCAATTATATTTTTCAGGACATATAACTGTGCCAAGTCTGACAATGTGTTTGTTTTTATAAACTTTATATTCCTATACTAACCTCTCTGCTGAGTTGTCCTTCTTTTTCCCATCTGAATAAAGATAAACACAATTATTAAAAGGCCAACTAAAATTAATTAGATTTTCATCCAGATTTTTGAAAAAAATGGGGTGGGTGGGAGGATTTTATTTTTCAATTTTTATTTCCTCTGAAACCCTTTTGTAGAGTGTTCTTCATATGCAATGTCAATAAGAAACTTATGAGTACACTACAGAGTGAAATGAAAACTCAAACTGTGTTGAAAAATACTTAGGTTGATGCTTTTAAGATTCTTATGCAAGGTGCAAATATAATTACAATGTAAAACATGAACCAAAAAGAAGTTGTTCAATTACTCTATTGAGTGAGCGGCTGGGGACAGAGGGTATTTGCTGTTTGTCAACAAAAAACGACAGCCTTGGGGAAAATCTAAGGGCTTGCTCAGTAAACTACATTTCGTACGTTGGTAGACTTTTTGTACTCAATATATACGGTCATACATTGAACAAGTTTGTGCGTGTGTCAATTTCTTTATTCCAGTCTGACATGTTTTTTGTTCCAATGTGTTCCACAATTCATGTGCTTTTGGATATCAATCACAGTCCAAATTTCCTAACAAAAAGTCATTGTATAAATAAAAAAATCCATGGTTTTCTAATCACTGAAATTTGTGACATACTGTGATTTGCGTTCTTTGACTCCGCAAATTACCTGTAACCCTAATATTTAATGCCCTTCCCGTAATGAATCTCTATTCTCGAAAGATAATGTTGTCATCAAAGAGCAGCAGAATATGTCGACTTACTTGGTTCAATAACTCGAAGAAAAACGAAAACCAGAAGTTTTGAATGAAACGAAATTATTGGCGGCTATCGTTAACTGAAATGAACAAAATCCGGAAATCTTAACATTTTGAAAACAAATAAAATCGGGGAGGGCTGGGATGAAAATCTATCAATTAATTTTAATTGGCATAAGTCCTACAAATCACAGCATGAAAAATAAAGTTATCTTAAAAACCTGTAATTTTCAAAGTACAAAATAATGTCCTTAGTAATGGATTACATCCCTGAAAAGAATTCCCAATAGCTCAGATACCAATGACTGATGGTATGATATCTCTTTAGAAATACCATGGAAGATATTAAAGTGTCTCTAATTCATCAAATCAAGTATTGTGAATTAGCCTTCAATAACCACAAGCATTCTTTGGTATGGTGCTATCAAGTATTATGAATAAGCCTCCAGTAACCACAAGCATTCTTTGGTATGGTGCTATCAAGTATTATGAATAAGCCTCCAGTAACCACAAGCATTCTTTGGTATGGTGCTATCAAGTATTATGAATAAGCCTCCAGTAACCGCAAGCATTCTTTGGTATGGTGCTATCAAGTACAAAATGTATTATGAATTAGCCTTCAGTTACCACAAGTATTCTTTGGTATGGTGCTATCAAGTACAAAATGTATTATGAATTAGCCTTCAGTTACCACAAGTATTCTTTGGTACGGTGCTATCAAGTATTATGAATAAGCCTCCAGTATCCACAAGCATTCTTTGGTATGGTGCTATCAAGCATTATGAATTTGCCTCCAGTAACCACAAGCACTCTTTGTTATGGTGCTATCAAGTACAAAATGTATTATGAATTAGCCTTCAGTAACCACAAGTATTCTTTGGTATGGTGCTATAAAGTATTATGAATTTGCCTCCACTAACTGCAAGCATTCTTTGGTATGTTGCTATTAAGTATTATGAATTTGACTCCAGTAACCGCAAGCGTTCTTTGGTATGGTGCTATTATGAATTAGCCTTCAGTAACCAAAAGTATTCTTTGGTATGTTGCTATTAAGTATTATGAATTTGCCTCCAGTAACTGCAAGCGTTCTTTGGTATGGTGCTATTATGAATTAGCCTTCAGTAACCACAAGTACTCTTTGGTATGGTGCTATTAAGTATTATGAATTTGCCTCCAGTAGCTGCAAGAATTCTTTGGTATGGTGCTATTAAGTATTATGAATTTGCCTTCAGTAACTGCAAGCATTCTTTGGTATGGTGCTATTAACTATTTTCTATTTCGTACATGTGCTTACATGACCTGTTATACAAATATTTTAAGAATTTTGACTTTTACTGTTAGTTCTTATATGCACACGTTGGTTTTCCACATATCAAGATAAAAAAAGCAGGCTTAGTAAAACACAACTGCCATATAACTGTGCCTGTCTAGAACCCTATCAGTGCTTTTTGTTACTCAACTTGTAAACTGTAATCACTCAAATGATAGTCGTATTTCCCTTTAAATTGAATACATTTTTAATTCCCATAGGTACACAGGTGTTTTGTAATTATTCCATTCAATAATTAACATAATTATGTTGTACTTGGTCCTTTCAAAAAGATTTGTGACAATTATAACAAAGATTGAAAGATAGCAATTAAAATGGAAAAAAAATGTTCAGGTTTTCTGAATAGCAGTACCCAAATTAAAATATGGCAGGACATTAAAAAATATTAAAGGAAGAGGCAGGGCGCCATACCCTTCTAAAAACCCTGTTAGAAACCCAAATTGTTGACTTCTAATTGGGTCTAGCTTACTGATATGTTGACTTGCTGTCTCTATCATATCATGGAATAAACTTTAAATTTTAACTTCACAGAAATCAATGTTTCTACAATATATGTTACATCTCATTTATTCACCATCTTCACTGAACATGTAAATGTAAAATCTCACTTTGAGTGATGAGGAAGCACTTCTTCCTGAAAAAATCGTCTGACATTTTCTCTGAACATGTCATGTTCTTCCGAAAATATTCTTCTGTTCCCAACGGCCATCATGTTATCAGCCTGGGCAATTTCTGGACGAGATAAATTTCCAGTCCATCTGAAAAAGTATATAATCATTTTTCATCATGAGAGTTAAGATTCAGTATTAAAAAAAGTTATAGTTCTTTCAAAACACAATGCTGGCAAGAACTTTTTACTTATTTTGATGGCCGAATATATTTATTGTTGCTGTTTTATTTGTCTTTTCACAAATCAGACATTTGATTTCTCTTTTTAATTGTTTCACATTTTGTCATGTCAAGCAGACTTACTATACAGTATGGGTTTTGCTCATAGCTGAAAGGACGTACAGTGACCTACAGTTGCTTACATCCACATCATTTGGACTTCGGTCAATAGATGTTTCATTGGCAATCATACAACATAAAAATATGTTTTTTTATGGTCACCAGACTAAACCTGAAATTTTTAAGTGAGAAAAATTGAGTTATCTTTCTTGGCATGAAATTTTTAAATGTAAATTAAATGTCAAATCGCATTGTAAGCTGGAAATATTAAACCAGCTAGATACATGTACTAAATCAGTAGAAAAAATACTCAGAGAATTATTCAATTAAAAGAGACTAAACAATAATATGCAATCATCAAACCAGACTTTGCAAAATTGCATTTTTTGGTTAGACCAAGGACCGACAGGATGTCAACTTTTGCTGGTCTTTTAAAATATTTGGTGGTCCTTAATTTTTTCTAATTTCTGTTTTTCTTCTTCATATATAAGGCCAAATAAAAGTATATGTGTGGTTCTAGTTACATCCTAAAGAAAAATAGGGTCGGTAGGTCGGCACTTTTTTTTGGATTGTCAAAATCCGGAAAAAGATTGTGTGTTCACCGAGTTGGATTCCAGTGTTATACACATTTCTTCCGGAAGTTTGCCGTTTTCTCTATGTTTGGTTGTAAAATAAACAGATATGTTACGTTTTTAGTGAATTTTGTTGCATTCTGTTAAGAATTTGTTGCATTTTAGCCATAGTGGATACTTCTAATGGAAATTCAGATGACAGAAGTCAGTGAATTTAATTATTGAAATTCACATTCCACAAAATGGGATCGTTCGAAAATTACACAAACTCATACAAGGACCAGGTTTCAAAATATTCTTTAATAATCAGTTCAATCCAGATGCTAAATTATGTAAATTATGTTTATTTCAATTACTTTTTTTTGTATTATACATGCACATATTGTCAGATTTATATGTTATTCTTTGGCATTTACAAGATAACTACAATGTAAATTTTGGTAAATTCCACTCATATGCAACAACAAGTATTCTTTGATGTATTACTGAAGAAAAGAAGAACGTGTTTGAGGACAAGAACACCCCCACTCAAGCCTTGCAATTTTCCAAGTTAAAAAGGGGCATAACTCTAAATGACTCACTGCTAAAATTCGAACTTTGTCTGCGTGTTTTGTAGTTTTTAGCATAGTGTATGAGTGTCATAAAATTTGTTTGGATGAGGTTAATTTAAGTTAGAAAGTGGAATGAAAAAATTTACAATTTTCCAACTTATAAAAGGGTATAACTCAAGAACGGTAAGTGACTCACTGCCCAAATTCCAACACTATCTGTGAAACGAAAAACGGGACAGACGTAAAGACAGAGAGTCAAGGGTAACACTGCCTCCATTGCCCATGACAGGGGCATAAAAACCAAAGCTACCAATGACACCTTTGTGTGAAATTATCTGATTATTTTTGTTATACAAGTCTTATGTAAAACAAAAATTTGGTGGCCTAAGTGAAAAGTTTTACAATTGTACAGTTATTTTATATCTTAAAAGAATAGTAAAATACCATGTAAATGTTGACCTCCTTCATCATATCTTTATAAACATTTTATGTTCGATCAATGTTATTTTTTTGCGGATTTTTTGTTTCATGTGCGATACTGATATTTGGACTTTAACCTGTGTTTGTTTATCAGAAAAATTTAGGCGTTAGTAGGATTAGCTGTAAAATTGACCTCTTCTGTTGGTTGGATAAACCTGTAGCAGAAATACATGAAGTCGTATTTAAGTTTTTCAAGACATGGGTCAAGTTTTGAGTCAATTTCCCCAGAGAAGTCATCGTGTGTTCACCACGGCGTCTGTTGATCACTGTCAAGATTACGCTTGATTCTTGGTCATAAATTTCTTGGAAGATAAAAGTTGTGGCAAGATCAACGCTAGACAGTATCATTTTAGAAATATCTAATTTACAACAGTAAATCTTAAATAATAATGCACCACAACGAATTTAGTTTACACTACGAGATGTCCATAGTTGATAATGGGCTTATGTTACATCATTCATGTCACCAAAGTTAGAAATTCAAAATACCAAGATTTCTTCATGTCGTCTAACCTATGATCTGACCAATTTCCTGACCGATAAACAAACATTAGCATTTTCTAGTTTTAGACATTAGTGCAACCCTCTCCACAATTTTAGATTTGAACAAATTAGTTGCCTCATTTTTTAAAATTTTTTTCGAACCGACGCTTTTTCATTAAGATAGTTCTGAGATAGTTGTTAAAATCAGTTCGGTGGAATTTTAAAATGTCGTTTCACTTCACATTTCTTTATGGCTTGTATGCATATGCCTAGTTTTTTTACACAGTAACAATAAGCAATTGGAATCATGGATTTAAACACTTCCGAAGTTTCTCTTTCGGCGACCTCCCAACCTTTGAAAACCCATGGTGAGGCGACATTCATATGACATAAGATGATGTTTTATACAGACGACGTAATGAAAAAGCGTCGGTTCGAAAAAATAAAAAAATGAGGCAACTTATTTGTTCAAAGGTTTTTAGACCAAACAAAGGATTCTTTCACAATAGGATTAATGTCATCAGAATATAATCTAATATTAAAGATACAATATAGATTGAAATTTAATATTTAGTTCCAGAGGAAGTCTCCCCAAATCAGCTCTTGCACCTAAATTTGATGAAGTTTTTCTAACACCCAGTGTATATTTACAAAACTGTAGGTGTTACTTTTCTAAACGTGTTTTATCAATGAAATAAAAAGGGTCCAATTGTTTTTCTGAATTATTTGCTCTCTTTTTGGCTCTAAAATATGTTATATAGGAATCCAAAAATGTTACTTTTGAATTATATAAAGCTATAGGTTTAACTAATGAACCAAAGAGATTATTTGCGACTTTAACTGGTATATCATTCAATGAACTAGCATATGACTTCTTAGCAAAGAGAACTTTTCTTAGCTTTTTTGGTTAGATCTATAATACTGTGAGAAAAAATTCCATTATTTTTACGCACTTAAATAACAGGGATGTGCTCCTATAGCAAAATCTGTGGACCATGTAGATAATTAACTTAATTATTTTTAGCAAGAAAGGTAAAATAAACTACTCTATTAGTTCTTTTCATATCTTATTTGTTGCAAATTGTATATAAATAACCTGTTAAATGAAAATAACACTTTATAAATTTGGTTTGTATGAAATGTTTTTCTTGATTTGCCGTCATCAGTAACGCTCAACTCCCCCTTCCCCCCAAAAAAATAATAATGAAAGCCAAGGACGTATAACTACTGAATACGTGATGAATTCAGGGGCGGATCCAGGATTTTGGAAAGGGGGGCGTAGTATGTAAAATTCGCCGAGCGGAGCGATGCGAAAAAATTTTTTTGGACCTTTTTGGAGCTAAAAAACATAAAACAAGTGTTGAAAATGCACATTTTTAGTGATGGTTCCTAACGTGGGGTATGTATATTTTATAGTTAAAGTGTAAGCTTGGGTTGGACATTTTTGATGCCGCATTCTCCCCATTAATTGTCTATTATAAAATGATTGAATGGATCTAAAGCTATGTACTAATATATTTGATGTGGGATTTGTCAGTAAAAAATGGACATGGAAAATTCTCGTTTGTTGTATGGTTAGTTAGCATAACCTCACAGATTACTTGATGTAAACATGATATACGGCTATTCAATGAAGTTTATAATACGACCGACACGAACAAAGACAAACAAGCAATTTTTATCCAAATGTTTGGTTGAAATGTTTCACGCAACAAGGGAAGTGAGGGGTTCCAAATCAACCAAAGGCTACGAATGAGTCTGAAAATCAAATGACAACGAAGTTGTGAATGACGGTCGACAAATGAAGACATAAAGGCCACACCCAACAGGCAGGTTGCAGTTGGGCCTTGAAAAAAGTATTCAGTATATTAGTTCGGCGAAACAGACGTTCCGGTCAGATATGGGATTTACATGCAACCCCCCCCCCTCCCCCCTCCCCAAAAAAAAAAATTACGCCCGTTTTTTATTCACCATGTTCATTTAATGCTGATTAAATCTGTTGGATTTTTTTTTTCTTATAGCAAAAAAAGGGGACACGATAATTGTTTTCATTACAGATACGGCCAGCATTTTTGTTTTTTAAGGCTAAAATCAGGGTCAGAATTTTTTCTCTAAAATATCTCAGACTGCCCTATCAAATCAAATGGTCCGTACCTTAGACTTTAAATATATCTAGAGCTTACTGACTGGGGATCATTATTCAGCAATGTTATTAATTGGCTGGGGCGTGTGGGGTTAAATATATTTTCGTAGGTAAATAATATTGTCGTGAGAGTGTAATAGAGTATTACTAGCTGTCCACCAGTAGCATTATCGACCCTGATCTTAAAAAAAACTCTGTATAAATTTGGTGCGGCCGCGCTTTTACATTTGCATTAATCAGGAACGCCCACAACCTAAAATTTGAAAGCCAAGGATGTATAACAACTATAAATACGTGAGTAGCAATAATACCAAGGTATACAAAGAACAATATAGCTAAATTGGGCAAGAATCTTTTATTTCAGAAAAGTATACCCTTTATTCATGTTAGTGCCAATTTCAAGTTTAATTCAAAATATCAACATTTCTAACTATCGAAATTGACTCCAAAGAACATTTTAGTGGTTATTTATTTTAGAAATGCCACTAATACGGGAACTGATCGATAACAACAATGATCTCTAAAAAGTGTTGGATAACAGTTATTATTAAATAATATGTTTAAATCGGCCCCAACATACTAAATTCAGCATGACTAATCTAATATGGAATTCAAAAGATCAACTCATATTAATCATACGTTTAATACGGCTGTTTGGACCGGTTGATAAGTTTTTACATACGGATCAGCTGTATCCACTTCCTGTGATACGGACTGGTCATACGGACCAGCTGTAGCTACTTCCTGTCATACGGACTGGCCATACGGACCAGCTGTAGCTACTTCCTGTCATACTGACTAGCCAAACGGACCAGCCATATGGACTGTTTTGATTATTTAATAAAAGTGTTACGAACTTGCTGATTCTGTATTAGCCCTGTATTGATTCTCGGTCAGCTGTATTGGCCAATGGCTCTACAGCCCACGGGACCAATACATCAGACCTTGAAACATGTAGCAACCATTTTATAAGACTATCGGCAGACAGAACACATAAAAACGTAAGTAAAATAGTTACAACAAACAAGCTTTCGATAGATTGTAACAAGTAAAGTAGTTACAACAAACAAGCTTTCGATAGATTTTAACAAGTAAAGTAGTTACAACAAACAAGCTTTCGATAGATTGTAACAAGTAAAGTAGTTACAACAAACAAGCTTTCGATAGATTGTAACAAGTAAAGTAGTTACAACAAACAAGCTTTCGATAGATTGTAACAAGAAAAGTAGTTACAACAAACAAGCTTTCGACAGATTTTAACCAGTAAAGTAGTTACTACAAACAAGCTATCGATAGATTGTAACAAGTAAAAATATGCATAGAAAAACAAAGGATATGGGGTATCCATCATGACACAACAATCTAATTAATTAGATTGCATGACACAAAATCAGTACATGCCCAGCAAATAACAAAAAAGAAGCAAAAGAACAGCGCTTTAAGTGCTGTTCTTCATCTCAAAGTCACAATGAGGCTTTCAACATTCTGTTTGTTACAAATAGCATAACATTTAATGCATAAAAACATACAAACGATATGACAATACACACCATATTTATGAAGAAAATTCTAGTATACATGTATATAACTTATACTTTAACTTAAATGTCCCTTTGCTATCTTTCGCCTCTCTTCTTACACTCAGTGGAATACTAAGTTGTCTTTTTCAGAAAATCAGATACAGATGCCAGGATTTCTCTAATATTAGTTTAAACGAATAAAGATATACAACATCATAAGACGTCAACAATGTAAATAGGGTACTTTCGATTAACATTCAACATTGAAGTTACTTCCGTATTACGAATCTACAACAGACATATGTGTGAAAGTCTGAAAATGGCGGGAAACAGTATAAACAGTAAAAGCACCATAGACGTCATCACAATTGATATAAGCAATAAAGCATTAGGAGGGTAAATGTAGACTGTGACAAACTGCAACTGACTGATCAAAGTAAGTTTTTACATTAGACAGTATTCACGCTTGGCCACAAGCCCACCAGTCCATGCTTGTAACAGTACTATCGTGTCTGTAAGAATTTCAACTACAGGCCAATAGAACCTGTAACAAATTTTTAAAACATGAGCGCCGGGCCTGGATAGAAAATAGAAACACAATTTAATTGAAAAAATAACCCTGTCGTTTTGTCCGATTTATACATGACCTTTACTTATTATAATATAACTTATTATAATGTAATAAATAATAAACAAAATTTAAAACAGCAAAGGAAAACAAAATTTCAAGGACAAAATAAAAATGATATAATAAATTCGGAAAACTAAGTATGCAGCTTTTTATATACATGCTCATCATGATAATTAAAGACGCAATTATCTTCATTGGTCCAAAAACCGCCGACACAAGATTGTTACCATAATTCTCTGTCAAATCCCGTTGTATTTTTGAATATTGTAAAGCCTTGGTTAGTGTAAACAATATTTTATTATGGAATTAAATACATATTATACCATATAAATTCTCATTCACAAATAGGATTCAGAAAAAAAACAACAAATTAATCTGTCTCCTGAAATCCTTGGTTAGAAAATTTTCAGCGTTTAGTACGTTCTACCAAAGAGCTACTAGAAAATAATTGTGTTTAATAAATGTTCATCTCATCGACTCAAAATTGAAACTGGGAGTTACTCTAAATTAGAAGTTTATCAAAGAATTTGTTCTAAATGCGATATAAAGTGGAAGATGAACTTCATTTTCTTATAGAATGTCTTGCATAATTTTACCCCTTAGATATGGTTAATAAATTTATTTGGTTATTAAACTTCGAGTCTTAATATTTTGAAACAACTTGGCTATTTTTTTTTATCAAAACACCCGCCATGAGTAAACATTTATTATGTAATACTGTCGCACTGTTAGCAATATTTATAATGTCTATAGCTTTAGTATACTGTTTTGCTGTTCTGCTTTATTGTATTTGTAATTGTAACTTTATATTGTCATATATGTATATGCACTTTGCCCCTTGAGGATACCTCTTATGGAAATAAAAGATATTCTATTCTATTCTGTTTGAGTATCATATGGCCTAAATCAGAAAAGGAAATAATGAACGACACTTTTTATTAAATAACGAAAGAGAGGAAATTTAAGAGATACCGTATAAATTATAATTTCATCACGGTACGGCTTTAATCATTTAACCATTTTCAATACCCCTCCCCTTTTCTCCAACACAATCGAAAAGTTGGTTATGAATACATGTATATTCCGTGCATGGATTATATACACTGACACCAACTCTAGCTTACACCTTTTAACAATGAAATAGAATGTATCATAACCTTAGATATCACACCAAACGGGCAAAAAACATGCAACAACACGGCTAAAACGAAAGTGAGAAAAAAAATAGTTGCACAAAATATAACACAAGAAACTAAAGCTTGAGCAACAAAAAGCCTATTAAAACTCGGACTGAATTTAGCTTCGGTTTCAGCGAATTACTGCTCAGTGTTTCCGTGGTCAGACTTAGGCAAGGAAGTGGAAATATCTTCGTCTTGACTGCCGAGTCTGTCCTTTTCATCATTGGAGACTTTAACGAAAGAAGTGCTAATTTTCCTTTGCATTTTTACTTATAGCTTAAGGCCTGAAGAAGACGGAATCAAAAGTTTAAACATGACGTTTTATGAAATCATATGAAGCTATATTTGCAAACTCTGCCTTTTAAGGGCTTATTGCTCTTAAGAAATATACGATATCATTCTTTGGACTAAAATATCAGGCTTCGATTCATATTTTCTATTGTTTATCTAAATATTAATTAGATTAAGAACTCTGTAACCCCTTTCCGATTAATAGTTAATACAATCGAGTGTATTTTTTTAAGATTAGTAAACAATGTGTACATAAGTTGACATATAGAACAACTGTTTTATAAAGTCTATACATAGAAGTGAAACTATATGCAGATGTGTGCAAAAATTCGAAAAAAATGTTTGTTTTTATTTTTATTCATTTGAATTTTGCTTGTCCAAACGACGTGAGGCTCGAGCTTCCGAGCTTCCGCCTAGCTACGCCACTGCCTTGGGTTCAGAAACTTTTTTTTGTCAAGAAAATCCTAGTTAGAAACACCAGCATTCTGTCATGTTTCTATATTACTGCATAAATAAGAATCCAATGCACGTGAAGCTTTTAGTTTGAAATATATACATTATTAAACTTTGGATGTTACAGCATAGATACCTCTGTCATTTCTATCGTATGTTGCTTTTTAAAATAAACAATTAACTTGTTAGTGTTCAGGATCACCATTCAAGCAGTAACAACCATTTCCATCTCGATATATAGGTTCGCATTGATATTTTGCGAGGACTATTGTAATTTTGTACATTTTTGCGATTATAATGACATGTATTCTCGTTTCACTGTAGTTTTACAGATATGGCATGTTCACTTTACCTGGGATTTGAACCCGTTGAGCGCCCTCAATGGCGAAAAGCAAACCCGAACAATGATTCGATACCAACAGTTTCCACAATGATCGCTCAGATTCTGGAATACAAAAGGGCATGGCTGAAGTTAAAAAAGAGAAAGAAGGAAAAGTATGAGACAGTTCAACAAGAGATGTATTTAGAATTCTTGTATCAAATACAAGTTGGAGAGGACATTGGAATTCTTCATAGGAGAACTTTCGATGAGATTGTTAACGATGAAAATGTTAAAATGGTCCAAAAACGAGGACTCAAACGACAACATTCAAACTCTGGAAAAGAGAATCTTTCTAGATATAAATGTAGAAAATCTGACTCAATCAATTCTTTGGAAGATAGAATGGAAAAGTATACATTGTCGTGTTCACAGGCGAGCAACAACTCTACTTACGACGATGCGTTAAATGGCGGGAGTTTGAGCAGTAATGAAAATAGCTTGCCAAGTTCTCAAGATGCCCAGATATACATTATGAATTCTCAACATGAGCAAACTAAGGCAACCGAAACAATCAACTTGCTAAGGGGATACCATCATTTGAAAAACGAACTACAGAAGATACCAAAAGAAGAAAGACCCGGATATGTAGGATTAATTGATGTCGAGACCTGTATCAAAAGTTGCCACGAGATTCTGATGTGCAATTTAATGGACAAAAAGAAGACACCTGCTGGGAAATTTAGCGTTTTACCTAGATCAGCTGAATTTGAAGGGATGCAATACATGTATCCCTCTTATAAAACAGAGGATGTAGCTTTCGAAGCTTTGCAGGCAGTGGTTGACCAGTATAACACAATGATTACAGAAGTATCCAAGATAGACGATGAAACGGAAAAGCTTAACAATTCTTTTAAATGTGCATCAGTTTTACTTTTTAGTTTCCTGATGTTACATCCGTTTTCTGATGGAAATGGCTGACTAGCTCGTCTGCTTTGTAACCATTGCTTGAAAACGTTCTGTCCATTCCCAACGGCTGTTTACAACAACGTCTCCCCAACCACAAGAAGTGATTATTTAAGAGCTCTTATAAATGCTAGAGAAGGACTTAATCTGAGTCCATATCAGATCCAGTTCCCGGATGATTCAATCAGAGAAGCTTTATCAGTACTGGAACAAAAACCTGCCGAACTATGTTCCTTAATCATTGAGAGCAACTGGTTCACATGGCGTTACTTTTTAAGGAAATTAGGAATTAGCATCCCCTTACTTGATTTTGAAGTGGTAGATTAGAAAATGTTATGTAATTATGGTAATACTTAATAGTAATAAAACGTTATCTTTTGTTTTTATAAAAATATTGCAGGGTTAGAGAAAAAAAATTTCAATAGTTTCCGTTCAATCATTTTATAATGTTTATAAACATTCAAATGTTGATTAATTCAATAGACCTTGGAGATATCAGAGATTAAGACTATAATATGTATTTTTTATGGATTTAAAGTTTGAGATTGCGCGTTCCTGATGAAGTTAAATCCAGAAAGCGCTTCAGACGCAACTATCATATTAAGTGTTATTTTTATTTTTAGCACTGGGTCGCTACAGAAGCTTATGAACTGCTGTTCTCCGAGAGTATCATTATATCAGTATTCAGTGCTTTGGTACTGACGTGATTTATGACATACCTTTCTTAAATTCTTTGTTGATAAAGTTAGAAATTACTGAAAAAAAAATAGTTTCAGCTCCCGCAAAGTATACCATAGTTATTCTTTTAAAACCCCTCTTAGTTATATATGTAATACAGTTAATTGTTTACGTTATAAGCGTTCAGGATGAAATGACATTAACGGTACCAATTTTTTCAGCACCAGATGCGTATTTCAACAATAAATGTCTCTTCAGTGATGCTCGAGGCCAAAATATTAGAAAATTCTAAGATTATTTAAAAGATGGAGATGAAAGTGAACACAGAAAAGCGCGTCGGGCGCACCAAATTTATGAAGTGTTCATTGTGTGCATTTGATATTCTTGCAAAGTATCTAAGTATTTCCAAAACGTAAATTTTATTTAAAATGAGCTTTAATGCAAATTGATTAAAATGAATTTATGTAAATTTTAACCTGTTCTAATTAAAGATATTGAACATTTCATCAGTATATAGCAATGTGCTATAAAGAACCAGACTAAACAAAGTGTATGCATACACTAATGTAGGAATATTTAGATCTTGGTGCCTTGCTTATGTTTAATTTTCGAAATGCCTAACTGCCAATAATTTTACAATCGATAATTAAAAAAAAAAAAAAAACACACACACAAAACAATGGGCAATTTCACTTTGAAAATAACGTAACGCCATTTGTTGAATTTTAACAGCATATAAAGGATCACATCTTGTTCACGCTTTCGAAAATATAAAGCATAAAGCTTCAGAAGAGAACGTCATGAAAACTTCAATTGTTGAATGACATAAGAGATGTGAACCCTTATTTGTTTCACATGTAAAATATCGGTGTTTAGTTTGACTAGGAATTCACGGTATTGCATTACAACCAATGTAATAAGCCCATATGATTTGATCAAGCACATTCCGTGTTACATTTTATTTGTGCCTTTCTTGAGTCAGGAGCCAATATTTCAATGTTTTTCGTTGGTTACTGTCTGCCATATTTGTTTTTTGTTTATTGTTTTAGCAGTTTGAATTTGTTTCACATTTTGTCTAGTCGGGGTCTTGTACAGCTTGATATAAGGTATAAGTATTACTTATTGTTAAAGGCCTAACGATGAACTTTAGATGCCTAAATCCACAATTTTTGGTGGTTAGTTGTCTCATTAGCAATCATATCACATCTCCTTAATTTCATATGCTCGTGTGTAACGTATCAGTTGTGATATGTATACGAAGGGACAGAAGGTATATTACTACATGTATAGAGAAATAGAAAGTAGGCAATGTGAAGCTTATAATCTGTTTGTCATAGTGTTACTACATGTATAGAGAAATAGAAAGTAGACAATGGGAAGTTTATAATCCGTTTGTCAAAGTGTTACTACATGTATAGAGAAATAGAAAGTAGACAATGGGAAGCTTATAATCTGTTTGTCATAGTGTTACTACATGTATTGAGAAATAGAAAGTAGACAATGGGAAGCTTATAATCTGTTTGTCATAGTGTTACTACATGTATAGAGAAATAGAAAGTAGACAATGGGAAGCTTATAATCTGTTTGTCATAGTGTTACTACAAGTATTGAGAAATAGAAAGAAGACAATGGGAAGCTTTTAATCTGTTTGTCATAGTGTTACTACATGTATAGAGAAATAGAAAGTAGACAATGGGAAGCTTATAATCTGTTTGTCATAGTGTTACTACATGTATTGAGAAATAGAAAGTAGACAATGGGAAGCTTATAATCTGTTTGTCATAGTGTTACTACATGTATAGAGAAATAGAAAGTAGAAAATGGGAAGCTTATAATCTGATTGTCATAGTGTTACTACAAGTATTGAGCAATAGAAAGAAGACAATGGGAAGCTTTTAATCTGTTTGTCATAGTGTTACTACATGTATTGAGAAATAGAAAGAAGACAATGGGAAGCTTATAATCTGTTTGTCATAGTGTTACTACATGTATAGAGAAAGTAGACAATGGGAAGCTTATAATCTGTTTGTCATAGTGTTACTACATGTATAGAGAAATAGAAAGTAGACAATGGGAAGCTTATAATATGTTTGTCATAGTGCTACTACATGTATTGAGAAATAGAAAGTTGACAATGGGAAGCTTATAATCTGTTTGTCATAATGTTACTACATGTATAGAGAAATAGAAAGTAGACAATGAGAAGCTTTTAATCTGTTTAAAGTGGTCCATATGTGTCTAATTCAAAAAAACTATATAAATATAAAGCAGACAATCTTGGTGTCGGTAAGATCATTTATGCCAAGTAAACTGGACTATATATGGGCTACTAGAACTGGCTGATATGTTGGTTATTCAATTTATTGTTATATATTTGTGCCTGTGTGTGTGGGGGTGGGGGGAAAGTACCCATTGAAGTACCGACTTTTTGTTGAAATATTAGTCCACCAAACTCGACAAATATTGCGACGATCAAAAAGTCCGGCACTTTGATTATATTGTTTTCGTATTATTTGTTGTTTGAATCAGTGATGCTCTTCACGAAGTCTGCGGGGACCAAGACCCCTCTCCAAATCAGTCACTGAAGGGAAGGAACACTGTGAAGTATTACTACACAAAACCTGTTTCACTTGTATATATATCTAAAAGTGTACAAATGTCGGTGGACCGAATCTAAATTCAATCTTTAACAAATCAATTTTAGAACGATGTAATTTTGGTTTAATGTGACATTAAAAATAAAGTAATCAACTTTATCGACTGAAATCTTACTTCGCTTTATTACACATCTCAAAGTACATGGATGTTAGATGACCTGATTACAAATTCAACGCATGACACCATTTTTTATTTATGACATTAATTTTTGATATTTATTTAGAAATAATCATTATCTGCTATTGAAATGAAATTCATCATATTATTATAGACTTAATTAAATAGATACGTAGATAGCTTTCCGAAAAATAAATCGAAACAAAATGTTTACTGTGTATATTTTTTGGCAAAACGTAAAGTATTCGGCTAATAGTAAACGTTCTAAATGGAAAACAGTAAATTTTCAAAATTTGAAAGTTGCTATTTCATCTAAATCGATGAGTTCCGAAAGATTGTAGGAAAATAAAAGTTTTCAGATGTTTTATACCCATTTTGAAACTTTATGATAACATGATGTTACAGACAGACATGTGGCGTTATAATATAGGACTAAAGTTATGTATTCCAGCACACAGGGACTTGTCTGCAGGTAAGATATATAGCCTGAACATTATTGTATTAGCATGTCTGAAAACGTGTTCCCCTACTTCACTATCCAACACCCAGACCTGTAGACAAGTCTAAATTTTTTGGCCATGTGGCTAATACTTCATAGAGAAATGTTGTTATGTTCTACTTTGCTGTGCTCATACGAACAACACACAAATTGTCTTAATAAAGCGTAAATAAAAACAAAAATCAACCTGGGATGAGCAATCGCACTGATCAGTTTAATAACAAATAATGAAATATCTACATACATGGTTTCCAATGCTCCAAATAAATGATAGGAAATTTACAAATACAAAAATGTTCATCCAGGAAATAAGGGAGAGAAGAAATACTGATGCGTAAAATAGCAAACTAACAAACATCTTTGTTGTGAATAAAATACAATTTTGATATAGGTTTTAGGTAACACAATTTGCATAGATAGAAAAATTTCCCTGTTGCTAGTATTGATATAACTTGTTTATTAAGAATGTAAATATTTTGAACTAGGGTACAGGAATATGATCACATGGAATTTTCACGTTCCTGCAGTAAAACCCTTGCACAAGCTGCATTAACGCCCGTTTGTCTGTGCGGGATGTATAAATACGCAACCACGTCCGATCGGAATGAGACGTGCAATCAGATTCCTTGTTTCTTTGAAGTGTTGACAGGTGCATCGACTGTGTGACCGTCATCTGCTTTTCATGTATCATTCGCCATGTGATTGCTCCTCACTTATTTTGACAAACAGGCTAATTTAGACTTTAATCCAAACTATACAGATACAATCTTATCGTTTCAGGTGCCATCTTATATCAAATTCGTACATCAACAGTTGCATTTTGCAGTAGCAGTATTGAAACTATGAAACAACAGCCATCCTTAAAGTAAAGAGGAAAATATTGGCTCTCCGTGTCATATGTTTTTAATGCAAACAGGTCTGGAAAGCGGTCATTTATCAATTGTCGTATATTGATTATCTAATGTTAATGGCCGGTTACAACTTTTCTTCACATCAATATGACCTAATACTATCATAGCTTTTTCCGTGTGTATACGTTCTAACACCATTTCGTCTTTCTTTTGGGTGTTATTTTATTAAAATATAAATGATATCGATATGACTTGGACACTTAACTACAGAAATGCCAGTTTTCATGTAGCTATGGTGTCATAAAGATGTCAAAAGTTAAATATTGGGCCTAAAATGGCAGTTTTCCACTTATTTTTTTGGGAGGGGGGCATACTTGTTTTCTAGGGACACAAACATTTTTTGAACTTCATGACAAAACGAACATTTTTTTTTCAATAGCGTACTGGAACAAAATTACTTACTTTCGATTTTTTTAAGAACCAACCAATTTTGAAAAAAAACATGCCATTCCCCCACAGGTTAGTGCCTATGGCTTTCCGTTGCGAGATCGTCGGCTCTCCAAGATTTTCGTAAGACGCCCTTACTGCCAGCTATATATTCATATTTACGAATTCGGTTCTTGCTTGAAAATGTTTTGCTCATATCTTAATATCAATGACAAGTTCTTAATAAGGCCATTTTTGTAGTTTTGCATGAAAGGCAAGATGCTGTATCCCTAAAGCAAAGATGTTAGACAGAATCAAGTAATTAAAAAAAGGAGGTAAACCTGGTGCGTCGACA